GCCGCCGCCCGCGGCGCCGCGGCCCGCGACGAGGGCCTGCGCCACCTGCTGACGCTGTGCGACGCCACGCGCCTCTTCCGCGCCGCGCTCGCCCTCTACGACTTCCCTCTCGCGGCGCTGGTCGCCGCGCGCGCCAACCGGTGAGTCGCTTGCGAACATAACCGTCACGTTAACATAAAAGTTAGGACTGCGTCTTTACGTGGACTCATTCACAATACGTTCGCGTAAGCGTAAGATGTTAACTTAATAACTTGCAAGTTTCTATGTTTAAGGCCCATTCACAATGCAGATGTAAACATAAGCATGGCGTAAATATAAAAGTTAGGAGTACATCCATACGCGGACTCATTGACAATACATTCGTAGAAGTGTAAGATATAAGATAACTTAAAAGCTTGCAAGCTTCTATGCTCAACGCTCATTCACAATGTAAATGTAAACATAAGCATGGCGTTATCCTAAAAGTTAGGACTATGTCTTTACACGCACTCATAAAGCAGGCTGCTTGCAAGCTTCAAGCTTCTCTGCTTTAGGCCCATTCTCAATGCAAACATAAACATAAACATGGTGTTAACATAAAAGTTAAGAGTACATCCATACGCGGACTCCTTAACAATGCATTGGTATAAGTGTAAGATGTAGGATGTTCACTTAAAAGCTTCTATGCTCAAGGCTCATTCACAATGCAAACGTAAACATAAGCATGGCGTTAACATAAAAGTTAGGACTACATCCATACACAGACTCGTTGACAATGCATTTGGATATGCGTAAGATGTAAGATGTCAACTTAACAGCTTCTGCGCTTAAGGTTCATTCACAAATGAAACGTAAACATAAGTATTAAAAAAGTTAAACGTAAGTATTAAAAAATTAGGACTACTTTTTTATGCGGACTCATTCACAATGCGTTCGCATAAGTGTAAGACGTTAACTTAAGCTTAAAAGCTTCAAGCTTTTATGCTTAAAGTGCATCAGAATGCAAACGTAAACATAAGCGTAGCGTTAACATAGAAGTTATGACTGGGTCCATAACCGGACACATTGACAGTGCGTTCGTATAAGCATAAGTTGTTAACTCAAAAGCTCGCAAGCTTCAAGCTCTATGCTTAAGGTCCATTCACAATGCAAACATAAGCATAACGCATGATGTAAACATTTACGTAAGTGATAGACTGAAGTATTCACAATGTCTAACATAAACGTACGCAAAACAGAGTTTCTATTGGCTGTGAGAGATTCTAGTTTACTATTGGTTGGATGGGAGAATTGATTTCGAGGTTTCAACTGTGAAAATGGCTCATACAGCGTTAGTTTGTCTATTAACTTCACTCCTTTTCCGATTCTCGATTTTGAGTTACCGTACTGTGATTGGTTTATGTCTTATGTCTTACTTCAGCATAAGTATGTAAGCTTGAAGTTTGTAAGCTTTTAAGTTACTGTCTTTCGTAGTATGCTTACGCTAACACATTGTGAGTGAGTCCGCTTATGGATGTAGTCCTAACTTTTATGTTAACGCCATCCTTATGTTTATATTTGCAATGTGAATGGGCCTTTAGACTCGGATTTAATTGTAGTGGCTTCTGTTGTGTTTATTTACGATATACGAGTGAACTTCAAATACAAGTGAATATTCAAAATATACATATAATGTATATCTCTGAGGACTCAGAGTCTTGTGCGTGAGACCTAATAGCATGGAATTTACTATTTTCTCAGAAAATAATATCACTTTTAAAATAAAAAATGGATATAAGGTATCAAATTTAAAATACAAAACGAATGAAATGTTAGAAATTTTTACATTTAAAATAACTATGAATAAACTATGCTAAATTATAAAATGAGTCAGATCGCAATTAAATTAATATGAAATCATGCAAATAATAATTACAGAGTACAATTGCAAATGGTTACCTAGAGATGGTAGTTATGTATGAGAATAAGTCTTTCAGTGTGAGTTGTTTTACGTTCTGTTCTGGATGTATCATGAATCTTTATGAAAGTGACAATAAAATTTTTGTACAATGACATGATTAGCTGGGATGTGGTTATCCACTCAGAAGCTTCAGTATCAGTACCAAAAAATTAAGTAGTAATGAAGAATTGGATAACCGTACCCAGCTCATCAAACATCAAAGGTCACTAAATTGGAAAATATACTCTGCAGAAAGTATCGAATTGAAGTTTCATCTGCTGGGTTGCAGTTATCCAATACGGAATTCTGAAAAAACTGAATTTTTTAAATAGATGTTCCCAATTGGTTAACCTTGTCCCAGCAAATAAAATATCAATTCCATTCATGTTTTAATCAGAATAGTTTTTGCATGAGGAATCTGGGCTTTTTGCTATAGTTTTACATTATTCTTTTATAGTTTCTTCTTCCTTTTTCTTTCCTCTTGATCTGCCTGAGCATGTATGTTGGTGTGTGGGTGCAGGGACCCGAAGGAGTACCTGCCATTCCTGAACGAGCTGCAGCGGCTGGACGAGGCGTACCGCTGCTTCCGCGTGGACGCCTACCTGCAGCGCTGGGAGTGCGCGCTGGCGCACCTGGCGCGCTGCCCCGACCGCTTCGACGCGGAGTTCCTGCCTCTGGCGCGGGAGCGCGCCCTCTACGCGCCCGCGCTCGCGCTCTTCCCGCCCGGCGACGCGCGCTACGCCAAGGTGCGCGCAGGTCACGACGGGAGAGGAGTGAAAGAGCGAGTGAATGGCGGGAGATAGTGAATTTGTGGGAGAGAGTGAAAGAGCGAGTGAATGGAGGGAGAGAGTGAGAGTGAAAGAGCTAGTGAATGGAGGGAGAGAGTGAGAGTGGAAGAGCGAGTGAATGGAGGGAGAGATTGAGAGTGAAAGAGCGAGTGAATGGAGGGGGAGAGTGAGAGTGAAAGAGTAAGTGAATGGAGGGGGATAGAGCTGAGAAAGACATTCAAGAGTGGGAAAATAAGAAATCCAGACAACTGTAATATTTCATTTCGTTCAAAATTTGTTGTTTCATTTCATTCAACAAGTCCATCAAACTTCTGATTGTATATTGCTGTACTGAGGAATGCAGAGAGGAGAGGTTGAAATAAGGATTTGAGAGGGAATTTTTGGGACATAAAAGTGTGAAAAAATGTTATGAGTGAAAAAATGGCAAAGGAAATGAGTGTTAAAATCAGTATCTTAAAAAAAATTGATGAAGTCACAAATCAATAATGGGAGGTATCGAAAAGGAAATATAAGTAACCCTTGGATTTGGAATTAGGAAAAAAGGGTAGTGCAAAATTTTGGGCAGATGGTGGGAACTTTTTGATTAAAATGTATTCTGGGAGAAAAGCAAGAAGAGTTGTATCAAGGAAGAGAATAAGAAACGGTAAGCAAAGAGAGAGACAGAAGGAAAGGAAAATTATGTTTATGACATTAGAAAAGGGAGTAAAGTTATTAAAGGGAAAGAAATAACACAAACTAAAGTAAGAAGAGAAAGTTGAAAGGATGGGAAAGGAGGAACGACATGGAATGTTTGATTTAAGGAAAACCAAAGAGGATTTATTTTTGACTTTCAAAATTTGAGAAACAAATTGTGAGACAAGTATTAGATTCTTCAGTGGAATTGTCAGATTCTCTGCAGTTTCATAGAATTTATTGTAGATGCTATCGCAGAAAATAATCTAACCTCATAACTTCTTGTCCACTAGGTGGCAGCTGTGTATGGTGAATACTTGCTGAAAGAGAGAAAGTTGGAAGAGGCTATAGTCATGTTTCGTCGAGCAGAACGCTGGGAGGATGCACTGGAGGCAAGCTGCCTGGCTGGGGACTGGCAACAAGTAAGTCAAATTAAAAAAGATATTAAATAAAAAGATAAAGATAAATATTAGATTGTTAACATTGGAAATGAAAGTTTTTTTTAATTGTTGATTTATTTAGTATGGATTCTCCAAATCTGATTAATGTGCAAAGTAACAAAAAATGTTAAGATAATGAACTTCCGTTAATTCTAAAACTATTTTTAAACATAAAAAAAGAGGACACTTACAAAATTTAAATTAAACATAAAATCCTTCATGTTTTGGAAGTCTTAGGATTTCTCACAAAATTAGTCTAATGTAGCGAAATTTTGAACACTCGAAAGCCTGGGATTCTATACCAAACGGCTCCATCCAAAAGCTTCGTTTGGATTATAACTTACAAGTGTATAAGGATTTAAACTTATAAGTGTCAGTGTGGTTTATCAGAGCTCCACCATTTTTGGAGACAATTTTAATTGTTAATAACATGTGGGTGATACAATAACATAAATTATCTGTACTGTTTGCCTGGTAACTCTGAAATTTTGAAGTGATACCTGTGTCAGTTAGGCATATTAGCGTATTTACCCCAATATAGGATGAGTTTTTTCCTAAATATCTCATTTGAAAAAAGTGAGGTCATGTTATATTTGCAGATTAAGCCTCATTGATTAGGATTTAAGTTTTTACATTGCCATACCATGTTACAAAACTCGACAAAAATTTTGGCATAACAATAAACTGTGAATAATAATAAAGATAATTATAAAAAATAAATTATCACACATTTCTACAGTATGTAATTAAATTTGCAGACATATTCTCGGCATCCACTGAGAATTTGCTGGGCAATCCAGGCTGATACTTTTGAGTGGACCAGTAAAGAGAGAATATTAAACGAACAGCATTGTTTAAATGAAACGTTACACGAAAATGAATGGAGAGAGTTTCTTACACACTGTGGGTTCAAGGAGGCCGGGCGGAATCAGTTCGACACCCAGCAAAAACTAGTTTGCGTTTTGAACTGTTAAAGAAATAGGACATCAACAAGTGTAGGAAAGACAGCAAATCTGGTGGCACAGAGGGAATTGGTCTTATGTGGTGTCCGATGAAAGACTAAAAACAATGCAAATTCAATGTGCAAAACTTTCAGAGGGGTCTAAAAACCCAAATATGGTAACAATTCTCATGAGGCCTCTTTAAAATTCTTATATTCAGAATTGACTTCTTTTCAGGTAAATACTGTATGTGGCATGATAAAAAGAAGTGAAATTGGAAACATTAATGGCTTTAGTCGCAATAAAAAATGAGAGATAAGGAACGATTACAGGATGTTTCAATGGCATGATCACTAGCACACTTACAAACTATCTTACATCTAAATTCCAGAACTTTTTGTGGTGCAGTGCCCTTTTAACCACCCCACTTGTCTGCGGGTTTGATGGTTTCCCACACTTAGTGTAGTCCTTGGGGTCAGCAACAGGAACAGCTGATATCAGCGATAGATTGACTGCAGGTAGCAGGGGTACAGATGGAATTAGTGACCGTGCATGATAAAGATGCAAACTTAAGTTCACAAATACTTATTTATTTCTGCAATATTAAGTTCAGGGCAAACTACTTGACACCCACATTTGTAGTGCTCTCTTGTTCCTAACCAATTTGAGTCTACTCTTGTGTCAAAGCACTAGACTAATAGGCTGGCATATTACCAGCTGGATGGTGGCAACACGAGCCATGGAATGAGAGAGAATAAAGGCAGATTTGACCTCCTCAAATCAGTGTTATGACTGTTACTGGCAACTCTTTTCAGCAAGATTAGGGTGAACATTACATGTTCAATAATGTATTTTGCAGGCCCTGGTGCTCCTGGCCAAGTTGCAATATGT